CTAGCCATAAGAAACCAGAAATATTAGTAGATAACATTTATCCCAGTTATTAACATGCAAGGCATACTTTGTATCTATTATGTCATTAAACCTTCACTACAGCTATTAAGATCTCCATTTTACAAATGGCAAAAGTAAAGCTCAGAAATATTCAGTAACTTTCACAAGACCACATAGGTAGAAATTTCATTGGATAGATTCAAACTTTGCTCTGTATTACTCTTAAATTCTATGCTATTCAACTCACCAAGAAGTCTTAAAGGATATATAAGCATAGGACATGAGAAATTTTTCATAAAATTTTAAATAAAGAACTAGATACACTCTATATGCAATATAATTACAATTTTGTTTTTTAAAGTTAATCTCATACATAACAAAACATTAATAATTTATCTCTAAGATTACATATGACTTTAATCACCTTATTTATTTTTTGCATTTTCTATGTTGTGTAAGTTAAATCATGGTCTCTTCTAATTAGAAATTAATAATATTTTATAAAAAGAAGCTTTCTTGATCAGTAAATGACTATCATGATGAAAGTGTCTTAGGATGTTGGACAACTTTCTGTAAAACTGAAGAAAAATTAATAAAGACCATTTGGGATAACAAGCCATCCATGTGTTGTAATTTGTGACTCAAAGTTGACAAATGAGAAATGTGCCAAAAGAACGTATGCCAGACCTGATTATTGATTTGAATGAAGGAAAAGAAAGAGTGAAATACACCCCAGGAATTATATGAAAACACAGCATCCAGAAAAGTGATAATTGGAAAAAAAAAAAAAAAGTTGAAAGGGACATGATGAATTCAAATTAAGATATTCAGTTATTTGGTGACTGTGATTCAACCAAAAAGAGTTTTTCCAATAGGCAGAGAGAAAACAGCACTAATAGTAAATACAATCAATTGATCAAATCCAAGGAAGTAAATGAGAGAGTAACTTATTAATATAAAGGAGCATATTTGAACTCATGCATTTAAACAAGCAAACAAAAGCATAGGAATTAAGTATAGAAAGAGAAGAGCAGAGAGCTAGGAATAAAGCCCACAGATGCCAAAACTTGGTGAGATGAATGTTAAGCAGAGTTTAGGGAATTTAAATTTTTCTTTGAATTGCATAGGTGCTATCAGGTAAAGAAAATAAAACCTCAATGTGGTATAAATTTTTTTTATTTGAAAGTTATTGTCCTATATTAAAAAGGATTTTTAAGTTTGTTCATTCATTAATCCATTCAATATTAAAAAACCAATACTTGTGCTTCCTTTACATAAGAACTTATACATGATGTGATAAGATGTGCTTGTTTGGATCCCTTAGCCACATTAGGGCTAGCACCAAATAGCAAAAGAATAGCACAAATAGCACATAAAAAACATTCTGCTTCATCTGCCAGGGATGCACATTTCCCTTTGTTCTCCCTGTCAGGCTATGGGCCATTCTTAAAGGGCCGACTCGAATGCTGCCTCTTCTGTGAATCTTTGGAAATTGCTCCAGTTTGGTATTAATCACAATCCCTGCCCTTAAATCACTCTGTTCATAGCTCTCTGTTGATTTGTATTATGGTTGTATGTGTGACAGTCTTCTCCAGAAGCCTATGAATGTCTTGAATGGCAATGTTTTATTCATATATCTCTAGGACTTAGTGAAATATACTGCAGGCATTCATTCAATAGGTGATTACTGAATGAAAAATTCAGAACTCTTACATAATCATAACTTTAAAACTATGAAACGAATATTTACAATGTGTCTTACACTCACTCTTGCTCTATCTAGTTCCAAAAGGATGAGTGTATACAGTTGTCAAAATATGGACACCTCAAGCATATTCATTTATAAGCATTCACAACAAAATTAGATTATTTTACTCAAATTCCCTTATTTACTTACTCTTAAATTTCTTTTTCATTGACTCTTAATCTCTCTCTTATTTTTTCCTAATATATATGCTTAATTTCTACAACTGTGATAGTTGGCAATTGCTACATTTTCAAAAGCTTTCATAGCTATTTTTATAAAATTACAAATAATCTGCTTAATATTCATTCGTTCATTAGCAAATATTTTTATCTACCATGTGGTAGATACCATGAAGGAAACACAGACCATGTTTTGGATGAAGGAGGGTTATAGCTCTACTAGTTGATAAAAAATACATACAAAAATGACCAAAGTTAAAATTTTATCTAAGTACCAATGTTGATTCTACTGATCCATGAACATGATATTTTTTTCTATTTGTTTATGTCACCTGTGATTTATGTATTCAATGTTTCATAGTTCTCTTTGTAGAGATCATTCATTTCCTTGGTTAAATATATTCCTAGGTATTATATTTTCTTTGTCGCTATTGTGAATGGTATTGAGTCTTTGATTTGACTTTCAGCTTTAATGTTATTGGTATATAGAAATGCTACTGATTTGTGTACACTGATTTTGTGGTCTGAGACTTTGCTGAATTTATTTATCAATTCCAGCAGTCTACATAATTTTTCCCTTATGATTAAATGACTGGATAATGATTATTTTGCTTCATATCTCAAAGCTCTAACAAATATGAATTGTTTTAGAGAACTGACTTAGAAACAGTTCACAAATGTATTCATTATCTCTGATTTTTTTTTAACCATTTCCCCTTCCTTCACATCACATGCCAAAAGAAAATATACTTTCACATCTCATACTGAAGAGAAATAACTTAAGAGTGCTAAATGCCCACTGACTTTATTTTCACATTCATAGAATTTGAATGGATATAAATAAGTTTGATCAAAAAGATTTCCTGCTCTGGACTATAGGCCCAAAGAAGAAAATAAACAAACCTTGTTACCTAAATGATTTTACAGTCTTCAGTCTCTTGCATTCTTTTTTTACATCGTTATAACTTAACAACAAATTTTTTGTGAATTCTGACTAAGTTGCTCTTGTAAAATAATGTGGTACTTACAGTAATTGTCATGTTTGAGAGCATGGACTCTGAAAACAAACTTTCTGATCATCAATCTTTACTGTGTACATTTAGCCAAGTAATTTAACCTTTCTAGGCCAGCCTAGGCTTCCTCATATGTAAAATATCCATAATAATAGTACTTATCACATAGAGTTGTTAGGAGGTTTTAATGACATCCTAAATTCACGTCACATAGAACAATGCCCAGCACATACTATGTTTAATATATTTTTGATTTATTAATACTAATATAGCAAAGATAAATAGAATGTTCCTGCCAATAATATATATGATAGGAACAGTAAAAAAGGTCATTCTTAAAAGTTAAGTAGCTTTAAAGCATGCATCTTAGAAAAAGGCTCAGTTGTTCTATTACTGTTGATATATCAGAAGTACGCTAATTGAATGATCTTAGACACATTAATGTGTATGTATGTGTGTAAAACAAATATCTGTGTGCAAAGCTTGAGAGTAATTTTTAAGTTTTTAAGTTTTTCTTTAATAATATAGGTCTCTCAAAAAGTGCAGACCCCAATGCCGACAAAGAGGCTTCTCCTTTGTAACAAGAACAAAGCCCTCTCTACTGATCCTTTGGATCACTAGGCAAACAGTTACAGTCCAAAAGGCCAGAAGTGCTGAATAAAAAAGTAGCGGGAGAGGGGGAGATAAGAAAGGTTTATATCACTTCTCTCCAGCTGACCAATGTTACCTATGTCTCAAATCTGACAGTGCATGTTTCTCTACTCCACACTTTAGGCTTAGATGAAACTGTGTGTTATTCTAACATATTGAGGGTGTTAAGTCTTGGCCTTTAAAATACGACCTTCAGGAGAAGCCATTGCTCAACACGGGCAACTTTTTGAGTCTTAAAAGCAGAACTCAACCTTCACACAAAGCTGATTAGTTTCAACATTTTATCCACCCTCATAAAGGGTAATTTATGTGCTGTGTAAAATATTAAAAATAAGACATGGTCCTAGTGAATTGTTACTTTCTGACCTTTCTACATAGAAAGAAAACTCAAGGCGTATCTCAAATATTAGTAGCAAATGCATGCATTGATATTGAATCAAATACTTTTCCATTCAGGCCTCCTTGACCAGAGCAGAATTTGCTTACTGGTTTTTCTCAAATGTAAATATTTGCTCTGGTTAAATAACGTTAATAGGGAAAGTTACATATTCCATGCAACACAAAGAAAAATTACTTTTCATTGACCCAGAAAACTTACCCTGCAACTAAGCCTGAAGAGGAAAGAAACTGGAATGAACATATTTGAAATGAGAACTCTAACTGCCAGAGCTACCTTCTCTGCCCCAAGTTCATGTTTAATTAAATATACATGAAGAATTTCATAAATCATTTGCATGTTCATAGAACATAAGTTATCTTCTTTGATTCTAAGGTCAAATACTTACTACTAACAACCCTTGTGTCTCTGAGGGAGGCTTGGCCCCCGGCCAGACTGTATTGCTTCTCCCATGGTGGTGGGCCCCCTACTACTGTAAAACCCCATGGGGGCTTATGCACCACCATAGAGCCCCCTGGTTGCTCAGCAACAACCTCTTATGACTGATCTGCAGGGACTGCTAGGCAACAATGCAGAGTCTGACCCAGCTGCTCCCAGTGCACTCCCAGCTCACTGTCTCTCATGAGTGCTAGGTTAACAGGGGACCAGTGGCCCTAAGTGACTAAGTTACATAATCTATACCCACACTTCTTGGAATGCAGTCCAACGGCAGCTAAATAAAATTCAGAGCAGAACTAGTCCGTATCCTGAAGGGTACTCTTGAATGTATCCTTCATTTAAACTCTATCCTTGGAGCTATAGAGAAGCTGACCAGGAAAAACTAAAGCACCAGAACAAAAATCTTTGGCAAAAAAAAAAATTCCAAGCATTTAAAAAAATAAATTAGAGAAGGCCACTCCTTTTAAAATATGACTTTCAAATTTTACATAATTTCAAAGAATTTTGCTATTTACATATTTTTTGTTGACAAAAAAATGGAGAAAGCATAATTTAAGATTTAATAATCATAAATCACATGATTCTTATGGCAAACCTATTCCTATCAAAATTTAACACAAAACTCTAAGTATAGCAATTTCTAGAAAGGGCCTTCAATTCTTATCTGCAGTTACACCCATATTGACATCTTCAGTCTCAACATCTCCTTAGTTTCACACCCTAATTCACAATCAATAAATCTTCATTAGTCATATTTTTCCATCCCTATCTGACCTATCTCTTAGAAGGCAACCACCCAGTCAAACAATCTAAAAATTTACCCACTCAAAAACATGAGTTCAGCCCTTCCTCTATTTCCCCTAATGTCTGTTACCTCTGTGTTTTAGAGGGAGATGCATATGCTCTGAGGGTCATGAGCTTGCACCCAGTACACAACTATAAAAATAAGACTCTATTACTTCCCCAATTCAAAACCATTAATCAACTCCAAGTTGTTTAGCATGATATTCAAGGCACTTCTGAATCTGTTTCCTATCTCCTGCTACTGGTCCATACTGTACTTACTACATTATGTTGAATTAATGATAGTTCCCTAAACATATCCCACACTTTAAGTCTCTTTCTTCTTCCTAGGACACTTTCCCCTTTGCCTGGCAAACTAGTGGTTGTCTTTCAAGATGTAGTACTAAGATCACCTCCTCTGAGAAACCATCCCTGATTTTAGGATTACTTACAGCTACCTCTGAGCATGTTTCTACTTGATTCATACTGCTACAGTAGCTTTAGTCACATAGTTTTGCAATTGTTTACCTACCCAACATGAACCCCTTGCTCTTCAAAGGCTAGGACCTTGTTCTGCTCAACCTGGCCTTCTCAGCCCTGGCATATTCCTTAACATTAAGGAGGTGTTTCTACTTTAATTTATTAAAATTATAGAGCAGTACTCTGAGACAAAATTGTACAATGAACAAGGATTGGGCATCACTGCATTTGTAATCTTTTCAATCTTCCAAAGGGCCATTAAGCTATAATATCAGGGATGGATAATAAAGTAATTAACTAAAATTTGAAACAAAAGTCAATCTCCTGACTTCTAAGCTTCTAAGCTATACTATGAGGAATCATTGCAGGGTGAATCAACATATACCTCCTGCAGTGATATAAACTATCCAGCAATACGGCTAAATTGATCACATTGCCTGTGCCCTTATTATTATAATCATAATAACATGAAACTCAGGGGAGGAGCTACATGGTAGGTAAGCAAATCACCAAATCTTGGTCTGGATCGAGTTTCAGGGAGGATAACTTCCTTTTTGGATCAGCAACTCTTAAAGCAGTTTATGCAGAAATCCTTGGTGCAACTAAAGTAGGGGAAATAATATAAAACAAAACAAAAAAATTAGAGCTACATAAAAAGCAAAAAAAATTATCCTAATTTTAAAACCTCCTAAACAACAATTCACGAAACAGCATTTACTCAACATCTGTCTCCCTCAAAGCACTAATTGAAAAATTAAATAGGAACATGAGCAAACAGCACACAAAAGCCCATGAATGATGAATGCAGCAGTCAGGTGTGATATTACAAAGTCACTTAACCTCTTACATGCAGCAGTCAGGTGTGATATTACAAAGTCACTTAACCTCTTACAACCTCAGGACTAGATATATCCTCCATTTACATGCCTTTTCTGAAACTTACTTATTCCACATATATGCTTATGCAACTACATTGCCAAATATTTTGATATTAGTAGTAATACAATTGTGTAAGTTAAACCAAGAAACACAAATTCTGATCAATGGAAATCTGAATTATGAGCTTATCTATATTGAGAAACTGAGAGAATCCTTGTTTGCTATGTGCTTGTGGGTTCTGTATACTACTAAGGCAGTGCTTCTTCAACCAAGTACCCTAGAGAATACTTGGGAATACTCTTGGGAATGCCAAAAAATATTCACAATCACATGATAAATTTTGTATATCTAGGTGATTTTACTTGACAATTTATATCTTAAAGTTCTATTTACATATTAAAACAAAGCAGACACTATAAAATAGGATATAAAATATATAAATTTGTAAGATGAATATGAAATTTTAAAGAAACTGTGTTTTCTATGGAGCACTTTGACTTATGCCTCTAAATTCTGGGACTTCTTTGGTGGAAAAGAGTGAGAAGCCCTTTCCTTTGGAACTTCCTCCTAGATTATATTAAAGAGGGATAGGATTTCTTCACTTTCACATAGAAGATATACATAGCTCTGGCTGTAGCCCACCACCACCACATCTAAACTAGAAAGTGCTACCCACTTGGACATACCATTACTTTTTAATTGCAGCTTAACCTTAATCACATCTTTTTTTGTTTTGAAATAAAAGATCTTTCTCTTTCCAATATTAGTCCAAAATCTTTCTTCGGGTACCTCACAGGACTAATCTAAAGCCTGATCTATATAAAACAGTCCTTCAAATAAAAATAATGGAAGTGTACTGCATACCAGGAAATGTGCCGATTACTTCACAGTCGTTAATCATGACAATAAAACTGCAAGTTAATAGTGCCTACAATAAAAAAAAAAGAAACTAAGACTGCAAAGTGATAAGTGATCTCCCCAAAATAATACAGCTAGTAAGAAGCAGACCTGAGATTTAAATTCAGATCTAAATCCAAAGTTTGTGCTTGTTTTTTCTCTCTCTCTCTCTTTATACATCATGTTGTGCTAGTCTTCTGTGCCCTTTCCTAAATGTTTAGTTATCCAACCTCTCCATTTAATAGCTATTCCTTCTATCACTTCTGCAATACTCACCATCCTAATCAATGTGTGTGTGTATATTTACTTATAGGAGCAAAGTGTCCAGAACAATATAACCAAGGAAGAACAGAATTAAGCCATCACTTCCTCTGTTCTAGATAAGATACTACTATTTGTATAGTTCAAAAATATACTACCTACCCTTCTTGGATAACCACTTGATGTTACCAATTCATATTGAATCAGCAGTAAACCAAAATTCTTAGTATTTTATAGATTCTGATAATAACCATTTCTTCTCTTTTTTAAATGGTATGTTACTCTTGTATTTGTCATATAGATAACCTGTCAAAATAAATTTTAACCTAAAGAATACAGTGTGGATTATATTACTCCCTACTCAAAAATGTTCAAGGATGCCCACTTGCTACAAATTTAAATTCAAAGTCTTCAACCCAGCACTTAATACTCTCTCCTACAGCCCCAATCTGTCTTTTTACCTTTAACTCCTCCCAGTCCCTAAATTTCTACACAGCTCTGTCTCTTTCTTTTCTGTATTTGTACCTTTGCTCACGCTGTTCTCTCAATCAGGGATGTTTTACCCATTCATTGAAATTCCTTCAAGGATCATCCCAATTACTATATCTTCTACAAAGTCTTTTGATTAGCCTCAAAGTTTATCTTTGTCTTCTTTGAAACACCTCAACACCTTTTATTTCTTTTATGGCACCTGTTACAGTCTGCCATGAAGGACACAGTTGTATGTACTATATTCCCTTACCACCCCTAAACAGATAAAATTCCAAGATTCTTATGGAAAAGATGGAGTCTCACTCATTTCCATATGTACTACATCACTAAAAACAAATAACCTGTATCCAGGAGAATTCCTTTTAATAGGCATTTGTTCATTTGAATTTAGTTAACTATTCATCTCAAGGATGCATGTACTGAGTTCCAGAATTCATTAAAGTCTCAGATAAAGGACTTCTATAACTTCCCAAAGACATGAACTTGAAAACAAATGGGTACATGTAGTAATAAAATATGAAATTATGTGCTCTATTAAGAATAACACAGGTACTTTTTTCACTGTAATGATTTCACAATAAAGAACTGAAATCCTATTATTCATACTGTTGTAATCATGTTGACAAAAAACTGAAATCTTAAGAAATTAAGAGACTTCTCCAGAATCACATGACTAATTAAAAGCTGAGTTGGCTGCACAACAAAGCTTTTTAATTTCTAGTTTGGTGATTTTCCCCCCACTATTATTTCCCAAATCATGTGTTAATACGCTTTCTTAAATATCAGCTCAAAAATAATTATATAAAGAGAAAGATTCCCTTGTTTCTTATTTATTATTTCTCTTCAAAATATTATTTCAACAGAGATAATTTAAAATATAATCCATTAAAGATGATTAAATAGAATATATTGAACAGAATTTATTTACACAAAGCTTACTTATTTTGCAACTTTAGCTGAAAAGAATACAGTCAAAACTCAAGACATTAAAAATACTGCTATTCAGTCAAAATAATGTAATAAATTCCTGTATATTAATAATTTTCACCATTTTTATACATAAGACAGTCCCACAGGTTTAACAAGAGCCTATTTATGTCTCTCGTTTTTAACCCATTTGTCACCAGTTTGGATGATGATAGTAAATAATTTGCCTTCCCAACACTCTTCCCCCTTTGAAAAGCCTTCCCTCTTCTACTCACACTCCATGTGATTCAGTTGTATCCAAGAAAGAAGTTAATACCTGGACTGACAAATAAGAGCTCCAAATGCTTTATGTCATAGTGATTGGTACAGAATTGGATATTACTCAAATCTGTCCCAGCAGTCTTAGTACATTTTCCTAGCCATATCAATTGCTTCAAGAATTCGTTTATAATGCAAGTGCATCCATCCTAGGACTGGTGCCAAAGCTACTGAGTAAGATACTTTTCTCCTTAGAATTTATACTTTAGAAATTAGTCCTGGAACAGTTAACAGATACTTTGTCACCAATTAGATCCTGAGAATGAAGACAAGTTAAAGAGAGAAGAATTGGGTCCTCATAAAATCATTTGAGTTCTGGATTAAGCTATGACTAAAGGCTCAGTGTTTCAGTTACATGAATATGAAAAATTCCTCTTTTCTCCTTAATCCAATTCAACATGGATTTTCTATCATGGATAACTGTAATATTACTAACTAATACACTTAGTTATCTGAGTTTCTCAACTTGCAATAGATTAAAAGGGTCATATTGAAAGAAAGGGAACAGTAAAAGCTACCACATACTTTACATAAAATACTAGCTTAACGCTTGAAAGTGAAGATGAAGAGAGATGACTTGCAAAAAGAAAATAAAGACTTTCAAAATTTTCAAAAGTGTGCAGTCTTTAAGTCAAGGGCTTACTCTACATAGCATCCTAGGAAACTCCTTAGTCCCAGGAAAAGCAGGATGGTTAGTCACAGTATGTGGAAGTCTAGGGATTTTTGCAGTGATTTACAAAAACAAAAAGAGAAGGGGTCATGAGGTTCACAGAGAACTCAAGCCTGGTGGTGGTGAGGCGCTAAGGTTGCTGTGGGTATATGAGAGGGGATGGAAAGGGACTAGCCAGAAGCACACAGAATTTGTAACTCTTCCGCTGACTTGCGTAGGTGGAAACATGGAATCCACAAAGAAACATTTTACTCCAAGCACTAAGAACATGGACAATGAAAATAGATGAGTCAAAGAATTAGTCATCCCAATGAAGCCAAAGGATAACTGTAGGTGTAAATCCTTGGATTGGTATGAAAAAAAGAAGAAAGGATGCTATTTCCAAAGAGTTTCTGAACTTGAGATTTTAGGAAATGAAAATTTTCATATGATAACAAGTCTAGGGTGTGGCTACAGAAATGGTTGGATGAGGAGTAAACGAGAATGTCATTGGAGTTATGAAGGTCAAAGAACTGAGAGGTCATAGTGTAGGATGTAAGTATGAAAGTAACTAAGATTTAGGACGAGAGGAGGGTGAGAAGACATGATTGTACACCAGTTGCTGGAGTGTTCAGTGAAAGAAGGGCTTGTGAGGGGGTAGACCTTCAGTGTGGGTGATAGAAACGAGCAATAGTAGAGGACAGTATAGCCAGATGGCTCACAGGAGCAGGGGCGAGTATAAGAGGGTGGAGAAATAATGCTGAGTTGGCACATAGGTATATGGAGGGCATGTGTCGCCACTCTCGACTCTGAGATTCATGAAATACAAAACAATAAACAGTCTCTAATAAAAAAGGCTCAAGGGGTCATGCAATGCCCAGGGGAGAGTGAAGTTTCAAGGCTAGGGAAAAAGGTAGATATAACATAGGAGTTATTATTATTATATTATATTATTATTATTAAATAGGTTAATAACATAGGGGAGTTTAGTATGACTGAACAGATGTTCCAGAAAGCATAATGGAATGGTTTTGAAGGAAGAGTAAAAAGTAGGAATTGGGCCAGGAGAGAGGTAGCAAAAAGCATAAAAATGTTTCAAGACAAAGAGAAACAAGATGAAGAGATGAATGATAAACACAGAGATTTTAAACATTAGAAAGTTAGCTATTTTACAGAGCTAACAAACTGGTAATGTGGGAATTGAGGAAAGCTGATAGGTATAATATGGGATGTGGACACTCTTTTCCTTCTGGGGCTTAGGTGGTAGTTGATAGTGTGGATCAAGGTGGCTTAGACAGACAAAGAGCCTGCAGACATATGTAGAAATAGCAACAGGAAAGCATGTGGGTGGAAAGTCTGTGGCACTTCCCAAGAGTCAGGACAGCTATGAGGAAGATGGGCTCCAAGGCAGGTGTTGGAGTGAGGGGGCAGAGAACACTATTTCAAATCAATGGGAAAGGAAACAGTTATAGAACACATGGATTTGATACAAGAATACCCATAAAAAAGTAATATTAATAAAGTTAGTATTACTACTTCATTCCTTAATAAAATAACTGCCAAAGGATTAAAATTTTAAATAGAAACAAAAGACAACAAATTTACTATAAGAAAATGTAGATGAATATGTTTACAAGTGGGAAAGGCCTTCACAAACTTAACAAAGTCAGAAACTATGGAAAATAAATTGATAGCTTTGACAGCCATAAAAAATTATGTATTCTACAAAGTAATGCACCCTAAATAATTAACTGCGAAAAGAAAACTGATTTAAAAATTGCAGCAAAAACATACAAAAGTTAACATACTTACAAATAAAAAGCAAATAGGCAAAAAATATAAAAGAGCAATTCATAAAAATAAATCCAAAATACCCACTAAACAGGTTGGCTAACCAAAAACATTCAGCCTCATTGCCAAAGAAATACAGATATGAGTGATCATTCCTGATGATTTCTAAATTTTAAATTTTTGGAGTTGTATTAGTATTTAGTAAAAATGTTAGTTTGAATGTAAATTGAATAGGATTTCTGAAAAGAAATTTGTAAAATATATCAATAGTCTTAAAAAATTAATATTCTGTGACCCCAAAATTCTATGTCTAGAAACTTATCTAGAGGAATTAATCAGATAGGTGTATACAGTGTATAAAATTATGAGCAGTTATCTGCTATGATATTGTTTATATGGCCAAATTTGTTAACATTCTGTGTATTTGCAGAAAATTAGTTAAATATTTTAATAAAGCATATGCAGCCATTAAAAATTATAATTTAATAAAATGGAAAGATATATTAAGTTGATTTATTAATGGGAAACAGCACATGTGGTATGATATCATTTTTGTTTTATAAAAAAGCTGCATATATGCAAATAATAATTTT